ATACTTCAATATGTATCTCTGCAAAAAAGGTACTATAAAAAAGAATCCTTTATTTTTAAATATTCAGTTCATGTTCAAATGTCCAGTAGTATCAAACGTGGCTTTCTTTTTTCTTTAAAAATATTTTTTGATGCCAGGAGTGTTGTCCATATCTGTAATTCTAGCACTCTAGAAGACTGGGGCAGGAGGATTACAGCCTAGGAAATGCAGCAACTTAGCAAGATCCTGTCTTGATCAAAATGCAAAAATAAAAATGGCTAGAGATATAGTTCAGTGAAGGTCCTGGGTTCACTCTCCACTGCCAAAGAAAAATTTTTCCCTTGATAGGATCTCTACACCGTGACTGGCTACTCTTTCTTTTAACTTCTAGGTACCAATTCCTCCTCTTTTATTTTTCCTGCAATTTACTTGCAGAAATTTGGTCATTTATCCTGAAAAGCAGTGCTTCTCAAAATGTGGCAAAAAGACAGTTTTAGATTTCCAACAAACAGGTCATGAACTGAGAGTTGGGCCTACTGCATACAAGGGCTAGAAAGACTGCACACAGGCAGCTCAACACCATTTAACAACACGTGACCCTGTCTCGCCAGCCTTCGTGGCGCACAATTCGGCATTCCCGGGACTCTAAGTGGCTGAGGCAGGAGGACTAAGTCAGAGCTGAGTGGCTGCCAGCTGTGACCTCTGCCATTTGAGAAGACCTCAGGGAGATCTCATCACCCCACAGTATTGCCCCCATTGGTGTCTATGGTTTTAGGTTTTGCTGCTTCAGTTGTTCTATCCTTCTGAAAAGATTTGGGTATACTCTAAAACTCTACACATACCTCCCTTTCACTTGTTATAGAATCATGTTGTCAGCTTTTTGTATCTTATATTGAATGCTGAATTTACTGGTATTTTAGGGTATTTAATTTTTTAAAATAAACCTATTTAAAGTTAACTATATCAAAATTGCCTCCTTTGCTACATCCCATGAGTTTTGCTTTTATAATGTTAACTATGATTATGTGATTTAATGGGGTCTTCCAAGTTTCTCCACAGTAAAGGGACTATTCCCCATCACATAGGGACAGTCTGAAGTTCACAGATAGTCAGTGATAAATAATTTGCAAAATAATACAAAATTTTTCTCAAACGCACAAGTCTATAGTTGTGAGTTTTTAATTTCTAAGGCTATGTAAATTTTTATTATCTTTTCTATTGCTTTCTCCATAAACCACAAGGTAATCAGGCAAGCATAAATATTTTTATATTACTGTTTCATGATCAATTAAGAACTATCAACTATCAATTAAGAATAGACAGTTTAGGGGCTGGGGATTTAGCTCAGCGGCAAAAGCGCCTGCCTGGCAAGCGCAACGTCGTGAGTTCGGTTCCCGGTACCGGAGAAAAACCAAAAAA